AGAGCTGATATTTATTTCTAGGTTAAAGTAGATACATGAATAGTATATAATGAATTATAGATATTTATGAACAAAGAAAAGTAACTGAATGTCAACTAAACTCATGCAAATTAAAATAAATAAATAAAACCATGCTGAGGGTAAAAAATAGTAGCTGAAATGTTCATGACCATAGTAACTGTCTTTTCACAGATAAACCTAAATCTATATTCTAACAAATGCCTCAAAGGCAATGAGTACAGTTATGCTTACAAAACTCTCTTAAACTTTAAGATGAATGATCAGTTCAAACTATAAAGCAAAGGCACAAAAGAAGCATTTCTTCACTATTCAAAACTATGTATATGCTTTAAAAAATGTCTTCAAAATTTCAACAATACAGCCATAAAATCAAGTCTTTTAAATATGGTAACAATTAAACATACCATTTTCAAAAATCTTTTTAAATGCACATATTATCTCATAGAAAAGGAAGGCAAACTCTGAAATATGAAAAAATGATGTGGATGGGGAGACCTGAAGCTAGAGGAGCGGCCATGTAATTGTTTTTCTATCAGTTATTGCAGTCTTGTGGAAAATCTCACTGGTACTCAGACAGCTGAGAGCTTTTGCACAGATCTGTAATACAGAAGATTGGATTTGAATGTCCTCACTAGGGAAAAAAGAAAGAGGGAGATTTGAGGCTTGTACCCCTGCATGGAGCCAGGAATGTCAAAGTTCTTGGAAGCAAGTAAAAGTGTGGGCTAGAAAAAAAATTTGTTTGGCTTGGCCTTGAACCAAATCCCAATTTGGCAAAGGGGGTTGGATAAGAACTTCTTGAAAATTAGTAACTATAAACCTGCTCTCATAGTACAGAAACTCTCAAATCAAGAAATTAATTTAGGGTGCTCTGATGCTTCCACCTTTGGAACGTTCCAGGGCAACTACCCGAAGCAAAAGAATATCTTCTGTGGAAGAATACACCCAAACCCCAGGGCTTGCATGATTCTAGTAAATAGGATTAACAAAATATGAGATCATTTTAAATCATATAGTATACTACTAAACAAGCCACCATGAGTGAGATACTGTTGAGACATACAATGAACTAATATAACTTACATACATTAAAAATATGACCATTAAAATTTTAATAGTTTTAATGGCAGATATAAGTGAATTAAGAATTAATGAACTAGTAGACAGAACTGAAAAATAACATGGTGAAGGAATGAAACACAATAAAGGTAAAGAGATACGATATTCTAACTTCCCAAATAACAAGTGTAGCATATAACTTGGATTATCAGAAAAAATGAACAGAGAGAATGAGGGAAGACATAATATTCATATTCAAGAAGGTAATGATGACATTTTCCAGAATTGATGAAAGACATGGATCTTCGGATTGAGGAATACAATGAACCTCAAACAGAAAAGATAACTCCACATTAGGACAAGCGATTAAACCTCAAGATACCAAATTAAAGTAGATATCACAAAACCAGCTTAAGAAAAGAAGTCAAAATATTTACAAAGAACAACTTCTAGCAGGCTTTAAAATAAGGGAAGACAGAAGAGAGTAAAATACTCTCTTTAGATTACCAAAGGAAAGTAATTATCAAGTTTGAATTGTATACTCAGCTAAACTATAATTTGAGAACAAAGTCAAACTAAAAAAAAATTTTTTAAGATACATTTTTTGAGAAATGAATGAAAGCTATGGATCTCTTTTCCATAATATGTGCAGACGATTACAAAGTTGAAGACAATTTTTAAGATTTTCACTATTGTTGAAGCTTGCCCTCTGCTCAAGACCATTGAATTTTCACCCTTAAATCAAGCTGCATCAGAGAGCTGTGTACTGGGGCCACATTCTTTAGATCCTTTATAATAATTCTTTTACTAAATTACTCTGTTTTTACATCTTCGTATTGAATTGAAGTACAATGTTCCCATTAAAGCAACTATGTAATCACTTCTCTCTCAATTGTAATCCTTTTCCAAACCACTGATGACTACATCACATAATCTCACAACTCACATGCACACAATATCTATCATACCTGTTCTGGACCCTGTAGTCTAGTCAACCATACATACATGGGGTGGAGTGAAGAAACATGTTTAAAATGTCCAACTTTAGCCATTCGGACTGGCTGTTCTTTCCTTTTTCTCTCCCTCTCCCCCTTCCTGTCCCTTCCTTCTTGCTTTTCTAAGAAGAAACTTCTAAATAACAGTGGTATTTCAACTCTCTAATTCATATTTAACTTGGTCAGGCAAATTGCTCCCTAAATTCTCTATATAATTCCTTCCACTAGCTATCTAAAGCACATTGCAACAAACACACGCATTACATGTTATATGTATTTACATTTTATATTATAAAAATTATTTATATATAAATATATTTAAAATTATATAAAACACTTACAAATTTTATACATAAAACACACTGATATATATATATAATGGGTCATATTCATACTTTACAGGGCAGTAATTTGTGTTCCACTTTCTCAACTCTTAACTGAATAGAGGATAAAAAGTGCAGTACAGGCTTTGCAATCAGATTTCCTGTTAGGTGGGGCGCCCGGGTGGCTCAGTTGGTTAAGCAACTGCCTTCAGCTCAGGTCATGATCCTGGAGTCCGGGGATGGAGCCCTGCATCGGGCTCCCTGCTCGGCAGGGAGTCTGCTTCTCCCTCTGATCCTCCCCCTCTCATGCTCTCTGTCTCCCATTCTCTCTCTCAGATAAATAAATAAAAAATCTTTAGATTTCCTGTTAGGGGTTGAATTTTGGTTTCTCCATTATTTACCCATATTCCCTTACAGATAAGAAGCTAAACTTTATAGTCTCAATTTTTCTCTTTATATAGATAGCCCTCAGCTTCATCCTCTGTAAAACAGAAGATACTGATAATACCAAATTCTTCAGTTTGTGCTCAAAATCGATTGATTTGATTTATTTTCAGTTCTTAACACAGTGACTAAAATAGAATGAATATTTAGGAACTAGGAACTGATTTGTGTCCCTACCCCCCCCCAAACACACCCTCCCCCCACCCCCCCACCCCCATCCCCACCCCCACCCACCAATTCATATGTTGAAACCAAAACCTCTAATGTGATAGTATTTAGAGGTGGGTCTTGGGGAGGTAATTAGGCTTAGGGGGGTCATGAAGGTGGAGCCCCATGATGGGATCAATGTTCTTATAAGAAGTGGAAGAGAAACCAGGACTTTGAGTATTCTGGTCTCCCTGGCAAGCTTTAAGCTGGCCCAGTCTGAAAGCATTGGATATCTCATTCACTTAACTTCCTTGACTGATATTCAAGACTCACCAAACAGGTTTCTGACTCATATTTCCTTTCCTACATAAAATACTCACAGGTAAAGAATATACCTATTATATATATTCTGCATGTCTGATTTCCAGGACAGTGCTTTCTCATTGTGAATTAGCAAATTTCCTTTCTTATATATCAGTTTTATAAACACAGAAACCTGCTTCTGAGAGATGGATACATGGAGTAACAAAATCAGGTTTTTGAACATGAACAACTCCATCAGATCTAGGCCATTAAAAATCCTTCATGATGTTGCAACTTTGTAAAAAGTCTTGGGAGAATCTGTTAACCTTCTTCAGCAGGGTGGAGGGATGAGGTGTGGTAGTACCATTCTGCCAAGTTTAATTTCTCTAATATTCAGCTTTAACATTACTTTTCTTCTTGATTGTGCACAAACACCCCCACTCTGAGTGTTCTGTAGTGTCAGTAATAATTCATTTTTCTTTCTGTCTCTCACCTTTCATCTCTCTTGTTTTCCCTCTCTTAAAAAATAGAATTCTTGAATCTAGGATAATGGTTTCTTCCATTAGAGTCCCAGAACTCACTTGCTCATTCTTTTGGGATACTATCTTCTCTCCTGAACCACATAGCATTTGCACAAAGAACATTACCTATCCAAATCCTCTCGTCATTAAGAGAAATGATAAGGGCTGACATGTTTGGGGGGCATTATTTGAAGCATGTAGTAAATGACTGATGACAGATTGGTGAATATTTCTGGCACTTCTATAAAAAACATATAGTTACTCTCAGTAAAAATGGAACAAGGAGTGACAACACTGGTGGAACTACAATGATTTTATCTGTTCTGTCTCTGTTGTCCACTAGGACAGTTCTTCACAGGAGGGCTCATGGTTTTCTTCACAGGACAGCTCATGCCTTTTACAGAGCCCTTACACCATACATGTCAGGATCATGCCAGGGCCAGGACCAGCAGAGGAGGGACACTTTGGAACAATAGTGTCCTCACTATTTTCTTTACTGTCCTTTTGGACTATGCAATGTAGTTCTATATCCCAACCAATAGAGTCCCCCTCTTATAATTAATTATCATTTCCTAATTTAGCTTCTCTTTTAATGGGAAAAAAATCACAATTTCACAATGATGAAATTCTATATGTGAAAAGAAGTGCTGTAAATTGTTTTAACTTCTTAGAATTAGCTTATTCTATTACTCAAAATGCCATAATTTATAGGAAAAAGCTCAGTTTTCAAAACATAATTTTGAAATAAATTCTAGTAGACAGATAATTTTTATAGATGGCTTCATAAATATATAAGATTTCTACATTTTACAGTATGACTTTTACAACTACTTACAGAAGAAATCTTACAGATAAATGAAAAACAAACATATTTCAGAATATTCAGCCATCAAATTTGACATGTCAGTAGTTGTTTTTCTACCACCAAGATTCTAAATATTAAATTTTCTCCCCTAAAATTGAACTTTGGTGATTTTGCTAAACTCTTCCATCTTTATTAAAGATGAAAACTTTCCCACTCTCTATTAAAAGTATTCTCAAGAAGAAAAGGGCAATGGAAATGTCTTCCCAGCCCTACTTTATTAAAAGAAAAAAAAAAGTACACATCGAAGAAAAATAAAAACCCAATCACACAAGAACACTGAAGGTCAGCTTGAATTAACCAACATACTTTGAAATCACTGACTCACTTTGAACTCCATGGGAGCGTACTATTTTCCAGGTTTCTGATGCCACCTCTTTGACATCCACTTGATAGTGATGAATAGGCACACCTCCATGGGAGTCCGGCTTGTTGAAAGAAACCTTGGCTGTGGTCTGTGACAGCTCTATAATCTTCACTCCATAGGGACTGGATGGCACATCTATGAAAAAGTGAAAACAAAGGAAATGTAAGCCAGGTAATATGGATGGCCATTATTAAGACTTAATGGTATCCTGACAATTAGGAATAAAGGAAAATTGCTCCCTATGTCACTTAATATATTTGAATTAGAGAGCTTGCATAAACTGCTGAATGATGCTTTCAAACTGCAAGAAAGTATACATTAGTCAATCTTTATAACTATAGAAAATGAAGAGTAAAATATTATCAAATTTCATTGATTGAGGCAATAATTTTACTTCTTCCTTTTCTATACAGTATGGGGATTTTACTTGCATTCAAGGAAAACAAGCTCCTGTTTGTGTGTGTGTGTGTGTGTGTGTGTGTGAAAGAGAGAAAGGGATGGAGGGAGAATGCAGGTATAATTAAAAATATAAGAAGAAACAAAGACTTTATTGAATCATTAGTATAAATATCTTTTGTGAAGATGTGAGATTTATTTTCTTTTTGTTTATTAAAATTATGTTAATAATTTTGGGGAAAGTGTTAAGTTTAGAGCAAATGTCATTATGAACTAAATAAAACTGCAAACTACCTATTTTAGTTTCACTTATATATTATTTAGCTAAAATAAAGCTTTATGTGGAATATTTAAGTTGTAATCCTTATATTTTAAAAACAGCTATAAAATCTGTCTTGTGTGTTTTTGTGTCAATCCATTACTCACATTATTTCAAGCTCAATAATGTATGCTGAATGAAACTTTATTTTCCAGTATACAAAACCTTATAAACAATTAGCAAAAATGCTAAAGAGGCAAGAGGAGAAAATAATAGAGAAAAAAGTCTCATGAAGAAATTAATGAAACTTCTACTCCAGAAGTTTCTACTCCTTGGAGAAGTTTATACTCCAGAAACATGAAGAATTAGAGGTACGTTAAGTATTGAAGGGATCTCTCTCAGTTTTTCTTTCTCCCCCACCCTCTTTTTTTTTTTTTTTAAGTAATCTCTACACCCAACCTGGGGCTTGAATTCATGACCCCAAGATCAAAAGTCACACACTCTAGTGACTGAGTCAGCCAGGTGCCCCTCTTCTCTTTCTTTTCAATATCACATTTGAAATAATCATAAAGTTGTAAATTTACATATAATTTACTTAAAATATATACATATATTATAAAAATATATAAGGGGTGCTTGAGTGGTGCAGTCTGTTAAGCATATGAGTCATGGTTTCAGGTCAGGTGGTGATCTCAGGGTCGTAAGATCGAGCCCTGTGTCAGGCTCTGCGCTCAGTGTAGAGGCTGCTTAAGACTCTCTCTCCCTTTGTCCCTGCTCCCTGATCTCTCTCTCTCTCTCTAAAATAAATAAATAAATCTTTAAAAATATATATATATATGTAAATATATCATCTCTGAAATTAATTTTGTAAAAACAACAAAAAAAAACTTGATTGAAAATAACACGTAAATGCAAATTCCTGTTTTGATACAATCAAAGATTCATATAAAAATCTCTAATGGCTATCAAAAGTCAAGTGTGCCTTATATGCTAGACTTGAAAGAGAGCACTGTGGATCACATAAAAATATGCCTTATAAATGGTACTGAGCAAAAGCCAGGAGGGCAGGTTTATGGCCTTTTAGATATGAATATTGTAGAGACATCCAACAGTGTACATTTCAGCTCTAATTAGTAACTGTAAATTATTTGGATATCCTATTAAGTGCATTATGGGATAACTCTAAGGTTTGGAGATTAATGTGCAGAATACTGATGTATTCCAAGTCATATGACTATTAAAATCTTACCTGGAAATAAAAATTTTATTTTATTTTATTTTTTTAAATGTTTTATTTATTTATTCATGAGAGTCAGAGAGAGAGAGAGAGAGAGGCAGAGGCAGAGGGAGAAGCAGGTCCCCACCTAGCAGGGAGCCCAATGTGGGACTCGATCCCAGGACCCTGGGATCATGACCTGAGCCGAAGGCAGACGCTTAACCATCTGAGCCACCCAGGTGCCCCGAAATAAAAATTTTAAATGACCTTAAAAATCTATGAAAGTTGCCATACATAAACATTATCATAGTTTCATGCTTCTTTAATCCCAGATTATGACTGTAGGTTCTTTTCATCTATAGGCTTGACCTAAAGTTTGCATTAAATATATATATATATAAATATAAATATATATATCTATATCTATACTATATATATATGTATAGTATATATACAGATATATATATACACCCACACGCTGATTGTTTATACTAGATAGATATATATATACACCCACACGCTGATTGTTTATAATAAGACTGCCAATTCTTCACCTCATGCCCATTTACTCTCTAATGTCAGCCAGGTCTAAATTGGACATCACAGCAATTATAATCTTCAGTTTAAGGATACATTTAAAAAGGAAAAGTGCTAAGTACTGAAGGGGGGAGGGAGAGATGCGATACATCTGGGCTCCACCTCTGACCATACATTCAGAATAGACATGGTCTTTGGTTCTTATTCAGACCACAGAGGCATGCACCATTAGCTGAGCTGTGCCCTTGACATGAGACAACCACAGAGAAATAAGAGGCCTTTTTTTTGTTAGCACAAAGGTACCATTACCAAAACTTGAGCCAGTGGGTATCTTTATCTAGCCAGATTGTCTATTTTCAGACAGGCTGACTCTTACCCTAGGTTTTCATTTGTATTTATTTTTTGTTGGACTCCTCTTTCTGTTACCTGACTAAAAGGAAAAACATGCTTATGACTTGCAGCTCTCGTATCTTCCTAAATACTTTTTTTCTTTTACATTTTGATTTTATATGTCCAACCACTTGCTGACTACCAAATTATTCCATACTTATATACATGCATGCATATATATATGTGTGTGTGTGTGTGTGTGTAACATTGAGAAAAGTGACTGGACTATGCTCAGTCCCCAGGAAATAGATGATGAATTAAACATTTCAATAATTAAAAATAATATACAAAGGTACAGAACCTATTCAAGTGAATAGGGTCTAATATGCCTAGAACCAATATCTCTAATTCATCCCTCCACTCTCCACTGTTTTATCGTCACGTTCATCCTCAAGTCTATCTCTTATATACATCACAATAAGTCACGAAGTTATTTTCATCATTCCCACATCATAATTCTTGTGTTCTACTCTTCCTTCCTGTTTCCACGTTAAGCCCAAATCTTATCTGCCTCTATCTGCAATGATTAGTGGCTCTTGGCTTCCTTTTCTATTGGACATCTCACCAAATTTCAATCCATATGGCATGTAAATGCAAAATCAATCTTTCTAAAGCACCACCCCAATCACGTCACTTCCCTGAGTAGGGTATTCAGAAGCTTCCTCCTCTTTATAACATCAAGCTTAGACTTTTCAGTCTGGCTTTCAATATCTTGAATTATCTAATCTCACTGGGTCTATGCAAACAGAGGATCATATTGTAGAAGACTATCAAACAGAGTCCTATGTTTCCAATGGGGCTTGTGGATATTGAATTCCATGCACAAAGCTCCCATCATTGTCAGCATGTTTTTCTAAACTGCTTCCTAGCACCTTCCATTTCAATAATTAATGAATGTCACCCATCGCTGAATGAATAGAACAATTGTACAAACACGTGTTTCTTTCTTTATTATTTATTTTCACCTCTACTAGAACCAGCATAGAGTTAGATGAAGAGCCTGGATATATATCTTCAGAATCTATGGATCCAAAGTCTGGCCCTGCTACTTTTTTTAACTGCAATCTTGGACAAATTCTTTGTATTTTCATCAATATTTTTTCTTACTAAAGTGGAAATTAGAGTAATATCCACTGCTAAGGTTGCTAATAAGGATCAAGTAATGCAATACACAAAACAGAACCTAAGATATACTTGGCAAAAGTTAGTCACTGTCATTTTGTTATCTCTCCCTGATAACCATATTCCTGCTATTGCATTATTGCATATCCACAATGTCAATATTTTATTTTTTTAAACTGAGGTATTATTTATTTATGACATATTTACAGACTTACGTTTTTTTTTTTTTTTTTTAATCCAATGCATCACCCTGTGTAGTATCTTAAGAATGAACATCATATTCTGGGAGAAAAATTCAAGTGTCTTAATAATTTATGCATAACCCAACATCTTTTGGATCACAAAATACCATCAATTTGGCTTCAGAGAACACAGGTCCCTGTGTAGAATTTTTTGTAGTCAAGGAACAAAGTAAATTCAACAACATAAAATTACTTAGTTGACCCTGAGTGTAATATTTTATTACATTGAGGTTCAGCTTAGAGATGTGGAGGGTGTATGATAGCAAAGAATTGGTGCCATTATCTAGGAGCAGGACAAAAACAATCTTTAGCAGACTGTTGTAGGAATTGCTGTATGACCCTGAGCAAATTAACTGCATTGGCTATTAGTTTCCTCATTAAAAAAAAATAAAAAGGTAACAATGTCAACACTAAATTTGCCATTGTGAGGATAAGTTGGTGGATATAAATCACTGGAAAATCACAAATACTATTTTCACTTATTCTTTCTTTAAAAAGGCTGTCAGTATATAAATAATGTTGATAAACATTTCGATATTTATATACGGGCCTAAAGCCAGAGCTTGATCAAAGTATAGAAGTGAAAACTTCCAAAAAGTCTGCCTTGGTGATTATTTTATCTTGTGAAAGGTAATAAACAATGAAAAAAAAAAAGTCACTCTTCCTCTGACTTTAATGCTGATAAAACAAAATAATGGAATTAAATAAAGAGGAACTATGAGATGCCTGGGTGGCTCAGTCAGTTGGGCGTCTTGGTTTCTGCTCAGGTCATGATCTCTGGGTCCTGGACTCCTCACTCCATGGGAAGTCTGCTTTTCCCTCTCCCTCTGCTCCTCCCTCTGCTTGCATGTGTGCATGCTCTCTCTCTCTCTCAAATAAATAAATAAATAAAATCTTAAAAAAAATAAAGAGGAACTAGTAAATGAAGTGAAACATAGAGCCTTATTTAAAAAAAAAAGAGCAGGACAATCAT